TATTTTATAAAGATAAAATACACCTATCTATATCTATCTATACTTATATATTAAAAAGCGTTCCTAAAAATGTCAATGTGCCACGTGATCCAATAAGGTTTGAACACAAGACCTCATTAAATAAAGACCAACTTATTACCATCCAAGCTATAAGCTAATGTTATTTTATCTATGCACATAAATATATAAATACATATTAAAAATAAAAGCAAAATTATTCAAAACTATTTATTATTGTTATTGTAATATTATAATTTTCGACAGTAAAAAAATTCTTTCAAGCTCTTTAATAATAATAATGATAAAAATACTTAAAGTAACACCCGGAGCAACGCCCGGGCCAAATACTAGTTAAGTACGAGTAATTATTTCATGTGAATAGAACAAGTACATACATGTTTTGTTTATACACTAAGATACATGAGTGTCCTCCACCTTATCATAAAAAGAGTGGGATGAGGATCGAACCTCCTACCACATTTTTTTTGGGGGGGGGGGGGGTGGGGGCATGGAGGGACTAACTATCTCTCTATTTCCTATGTTCTCAAACAAGTACAATAAATTCAGGGCCGTTTCCGACAATTTGGTGGCCCTGTTCTAACTATTAAAATTGGGCCCTTAAATTTTTAGAGGCCTATTTTAAAAGGTTAAAAATATTACTACCTCCGTTAATATTTATCTGCAACTTTGGAATATTTTATATCTCACAAATAATACCCCAAAGTTGCAGATAACCATTAACGGAGGTAGTATTATTATAAAATGTTTTTTTTTAGTACAGTACTACAAATCATTATAGAGCTAAGATATTCATATTACTAAGTTTAATAGTAATTCAATAAAACAACAAACAAAAACCTTTCATTTAAAAAGTGTCATCCTTCTAATATTTTTTTAAAGCAAAATCCTCAATTATATCTTCATAATCAATTTAAATTTGTTTTGGAAATTAAAAGACAAAGTCAAAGATTTAGGATGAATTTTTAAGTTTTAGTTTAGAAATGGAGGCATTTTACGGAGAAGAATGTGAATATGTAAGGTTGTTATTTTTTTTAAAAAATTATGGGCCCCTGATTTTTGAGAGCCATGTATGTGAGAAAAAACATTTCCAAATACGGGCATACAAATATACAATACATAACCAAAGAAGAGGCCGGGGACAAACATAAACTCATGACTTGGGATTCCACCACCGTGAGAATGAATATACCCAATGGAAAAATGAGCATCATCATTGTAATTAGGACAAAGATTTGATGTATCTTAATAAAATGTTCCCAAATCGTCTTTATCTTTATAATCAAATAAAATAAAAGATTTGTTGTTAAGAAAGAAAGAAAGAAAAAGGTAAGAGAAAAGGAGAGTCAATGCATTGTCCTTTGGTATCTAGTAACAGTAGTCAGTAGGCAACATTATTTGAGATTTGCGTGTGGAATTTATTTAAAGTAAAATGTAGGATGGGAGATTGGGAGGTGGCTGAGGCCTGAGGGTAAAGGGCATAATGAATGGACAGTATTCTTGACCTTCTCTCTCTATCTTTTCTTTCTTGTTTTTTTATTACTTGTCTTTTTTTTTTCTCTCTCTCATCCTTTTTGGGTTTCGTCAACCCTCCATCAAAAAAAATATAATGTGTTTGTAAAAAAAAAAAAAAAAAAAAAAAATATAATGTGGAAAATAAAAAAATACTACACTACTCAATACTCCCTCCGTTTTTAAATACTTGCCCCACTTTTCTTTTCCGACCGTTTTTAAATACTTGTTTCATTTCCTTATTTGAAAAGTTTTTACAATATTAAATTAATTTCTCTCATCTAGTAGACCCAACATATATTCTCTCTCCTCCAATTCTCTACACTTCTTTTAATTTATACAATTTTTTATTCTTCTACCCACCCCACTACCTCCATATTTTATTACTTTCTCCAATTTCTCCTAAAACTCCGCGCATGGAGAAATGGAGCAAGTATTTAAAAACGGAGGGAGTATATAATAATATTAAGGCCCCGTTCACTTCACCTTATTTTTGTTGAAGTAAAATTATTTTTACTGAAACAAAATTATATTTGCTGAACTTAAATTATTTTTAATGAACTTAATTTATTTTACAGAACTGATATTATTTTTGTTGAACTGAAATTATTTTTTTTTACTGATTTTCTATTATAATTCTTCTTTAAGAAAATTGAATTTTACTGAACTGAACTTATTTTTATTAAACTGCAATTATTTTTACCGAACTGAAATTATTTTTGCTGAACTGAAAATATATTTACTTAATATTATTTTTTCTAAGGTGAAGTGAACAGGGCTAATTACACAAAAAAAGATATAAAAATGCTTAACATTTTAGTGGTGATGTAGGAAACTCGCCTTATAACTTTGAGATCATAAATACGAAAGACTAACTCGTGTAAAATGTGCTGGAAAAAGAGGATGAAACAGTGGATCAACATATATTAGCATAAATTGGCAAAATTGCATTTTTTTCAATTTTATTTATTTTCATTTGTTTGTTGTGAAACATATATAGGGCCTATTAATTTCAGCTTAATTTCAGTTTAGTTAAGCTTCAATCAGTTTAGTTCAGCTTCTAATTTCCTTCTCTCATAAAATATTTATTTCAACTCTATTCAGTTCAATTTAGTTTAATTCAGCTCCAATCAATTCAGTTTAGTTCAGTTCAGTAAATGTGAACAGGCTCATAGTACGAAGTAATGCAGTTAACAAGTCCTCTGTATAGTTATAGAAAATTTTAAATTATACTAAGGGTAATTTTAGCATTCTTTATTTGTTACAATGATTAAGTTTCTATCATATGCACTATTAGTAATAAAATAAAAATTGTTTAAATGTAAAATTTTGTTTAATTCATATTAATCTCTATCGCTCTATCCCTCTCCTTTTTAAATTTTAGTTTTTGAATAAATAGAACTTTGATCCTCCTATTCCATACTAGAGCTTTCAAAAGTTGATCCGAATTGAAAAATTTACCTAAACCCGATTATGTCCGTCACTGTTTGAACCCGAGAAAATGGTGACCGAAACTCAATGTGGCTTGTCTTGAAACCAACCCTAGACCCAAGTTAACTTAAGTATTTGAGACCCGAACCTGAACAGGACTCAACTTGGAGATGACCTGATATGAATATAACCCGTAAATTATTGACTTGAACCGAATCCGACTCCGAACAGATATTAACCCAAACCTAATCCGTCAAAACCCGAATTTAACTCGACCTGATACTAACCCGACCCAAATTCAACCCGACACAAATTCAACTTGCCTTGTTATTTACCCTAGCCAAATTCAAGTCGACCTATTCCTAACCCGTCTCAAACTCAACTTGACTTGTTCATTGACTTAACCTAATTTCAAATCACCACAAATTCATTTACAACCACCTTATTTATATATAGTTATATAGTTACGTACTCCCTTCTAAATTTTTACTACTAAGAATATGATGTTCGCCACGCAAATACGAATATAAGATAATATTATATGAATTTAATGACAATTTTGGTCAATTGCGTGCTTATGCCAATGAGTTACTATGAGAAGTTCAATAGTCAATATACGCAACTCCTTACTTAGAAAAATTATATCTATCTGAACTCGATCATGACTTGACGTGTTTGAACCCAAGAAAATGGCGACCCAAACAGGATATTACCTAACTTGAAACCAATCTAAGGCCTTGATTAAACCCAGGTTTTCAAGAACCGACCCAACATGACCCAACCTGAAGATTACCTAACTTGAATAACCTGCTAATTATTGGTCTGAACCAAACCCGACTCGAATCAAGAATGCCCTTGACCAATTATAACCTATTGAAACCCAAATTTTAACTCGACTTGTTAGTAATCCAACCCAAATAATACAACCCAATAGTATTAACCCGACTAAACTCGATAGGATCGATGCATGATCCAACGACGTCACTCGACCCGAATCTGACTCGCAAAGGTAATGATCGATATTAACCGAAATAATCCAATCAAGTTGATTTGATCCACATTGACTCGACTCAAAACCGACTTGAATACCTGAATTGACAGCTATACTCCATATACTCATGATTTTTCTCTTTTTTATGAAAGTTGTTAGAAAATGAAAGTGTAAGAAAAACCTTAAAAATGAAATGTTCGTTGAAAGTTTTGAAACGAATAGAGTATATATTATGGGTAGGTGAGCATAATAAGGTATCCTGTTAAAATTCTTGATATCGAAACCTAAGCCTTTTCCAATAGGTTTCTCAAAATGAGAATTGAAATCGAAACATGCAAGTTTCAGTTCCAATTCAGGGTGCTTTGTCTTTTATTATATTTCATTATTTTTGCATATTTATCTTTAAAAAAGTTGGATGGTCTTAAATTTGTTACTCTTACAACTTGAAATTATAACAAACCAAAAAATTTTCAGCAAATTTAATATGAGTACATATAATTTATAACTACTCTGTATTAGTTTAATAAATACTAGCTTGAATTGATATATAATTTGAGTTAAAGTGATATTTTTATCGGATTACAAGGTATCATACAGGTTCCAGTTCTAAAAATTTGAGAATCTGAACCGAAACATGTTGCAATAGGCTCTCTATTTCACTATTCGAAGCCAAAATCGAAACATGACGGTAAAAAATTAGTCAAATTTATTACACTCATGATAATTTTAAAAACTGATAATAGAAAAGTGAAAATTTTTAAGGCTTTTTATTTGAAAAAAAAAGAACATTGAAAACAAAAAACAATGTAATACAAGCCTTGAAATTTTGGTTTCCATTCAGGATATCTTAATTTTTTTCCTCACCTCCGTTATAACCCCATACTACCAAATACCGATGGAGTATATTGACAATCAAAGATACTTTCTCCGTTACGAATCACTCGCAAAAAAAATATTATTTGTGAGATATAAAATATTCTTTTGTTGCGAATAATATGTAACGGATGAATTATTAAAGATATTACTCTAATGCAATCAAACGACTCAAATGAGTACTAGTCATGTGTTGAGTTGCATAAAATTTAATTATGGCAAAAAAAACAGTAAAAGTATAATATACTCCGTACGAAGCATTTTCTCTCTCCTTCTTTTAGAGTTTTTGTCAACCCTTGTTTTAGTTTAAAGAAAAAAATTAGAAAAACCCAAAAAAAGTCGCACTCAAAAAGCCTGCACCAAAATTCTTACTCACACACAAAGAAAGATAAGAAAAGTAGGAAAAATAAAGGAAGCGTTGAAGAAACTCTTCTTCTTTCCCCCCACTAAAATCTTAAACCACACAAAAAAAAAAGTTTGGAAGAAATATTAAACTTCCTATAATTTTCTTTGCTTTGACGCGTAATTAGCTACTTGAATTTTCTAATTTTCCCACCTGTAAATCTCTTGTATTAAAAGGAAGATGTTTCGTTTTTTATTCCAACTGTTGAAGCTTCATACATCATAACTACCCAACAAACATCATCAAACAAAATTTATTTGGACAGGGTATGTTTCTTTTGTTCTGTATTTTAACAGAATTTTTAGATTGATTGATTGATAAACTTGTTGTAATTTTTTGGGAATTTTTTGATCTGGGTTTTTGGGGGTTTGCTCATTTGGGTGAGATTTGGGGAAATTTGGTAGTTCTTTTGATTTGGGTATATTTTATTTAGTTGATTGATAAAGTTTCTGTTATTTTTTTGGATTTTTTTTATCTTCTGGGTTTTTAGGGTTTTGCTCATTTTTGGTGAGATTAAGGCAAATTTGAGAAGTTTTTGATTTGGGTATATTTTAGAGCTGTAGTATTTGGATTTTGGGGAGTTGGGTAGTCTTTGAAACCCTAAATTTGGGTTGAAAATGGCAACTTCAGCTGCATTTTCGTCGCTGCGACGACGAAGGTCGCCTCCATTGGAGGCGTTTCTTGCTCCGGTGGACTTGACGGATGGTGGAATTATAAAAACGGTGTTATCTGTTGCTAATGAATTGGTTGATTTGCATTCTGGGAAAAAATTGCCATTTCAGAGGCAGAATTTCAATTCTTTGGTTAGGAAGATAGAGGTGTTTGTTGTTGTATTGGATTTTTTGAAGGATTTCCGATCATTTTCGAGGTTTTCGTACACCGCGATTATGTGCTTTAAAGAGCTTTACTTGCTGTTCTATAGGTGTAAAATATTGTTGGATTATTGCTCACAGTCTAGTAAATTGTGGATGCTCCTGCAAAACCAATCGATTTCGGGGCATTTCCATGATCTTAATCAAGAGATGTCGACCCTTTTGGATGTTCTCCCGATTAAAGAGCTTAGTTTGAGTGAGGATGTTAGGGAGCAGATTGAGTTGTTGCAGAGGCAGTTGAGGAGAGCTAAGTGCTTTATGGATAAGGACGATGAGATGTTGAGGCATCGGCTATATTCTTTCTTGTACGAAATTGAGAAGGGGCAGATTCCTGATTCGAATGAGCTTTGGTTTTTCTTTGTGGACAAGTTGGGGATTCACGATGCCAAGAGTTGCAGGGCTGAAATTGAGTTCTTAGAGGAGCAGATTGTTAACCACGAGGGAGATGTAGAACCCACGGCTGCAGTGCTCAATGGGTTTGTAGCCCTCACTCGTTATTGTAGGTTCTTGTTATTTGGGTTTGAGGTAGAGATGGAGGTGGGAGCTGAGAGACAAAAAAACTTGAGGAAGGGAATGATGACTCAGGAAATTGCTGATACTTTCCTTACAATTCCAAAGGATTTTTGTTGCCCCATATCGTTGGATTTGATGCAAGATCCGATGATTGTGTCCACCGGGCAGACCTATGATAGGTCTTCAATATCAAGATGGTTGGATGAAGGACATTACACTTGTCCGAAGACAGGTCAAATGCTTGCCAATACGCGGCTGATTCCCAATAGAGCTCTTAGGAATCTGATTACCCAATGGTCTGTTGCTCATGGAATTCCTTATGAGCAACCAGAAGGTGCAGAGTTCTCTTCAGAGCTTGCTGCAGCTTCATCATCAAAGGCTGCAGTTACAGCAAACCAGGCTACAGCGTATCTCCTTATCCAACAACTTGCTTCTGGGTCAGAGGATGCACAAGCCATTGCTGCCCGTGAGATCCGGTTGTTATCAAAAACAGGAAAGGAGAACCGTGCTTTTATTGCAGAAGCTGGTGCTGTTCCTCATCTCAAACGGCTATTACTATCTGCTAATGCAATTGCTCAAGAGAATTCTGTCACCGCAATGCTTAATCTATCAATCCATGACAAGAATAAGAACAGGATCATGGACGAAGAAGGGTGTTTGAATTCCATTGTTGATGTTTTAAGGTTTGGTCAGACTACGGAGGCGAGGGAAAATGCTGCTGCTACCTTGTTTAGCCTATCAGCAGTTCATAGCTATAAGAAGAGGATTGCTGATGAAAATGGGGCTGTTGAAGCTCTTGCTAATCTATTAAGGGACGGGACTCCCCGAGGCAAGAAAGATGCTGTGACTGCTCTGTTTAATCTTTCCACGGATACTGATAATTGCGTGAGGATGATAGAAGCAGGGGCAGTCTCAGCAGTTGTGGGAGCTATAGGGGTTGAGGGGGTATCAGAGGAGGCAGCAGGGGCATTGGCCTTGATAGTGAGGCATCCTGCTGGGGCTGAGGCTGTCGGCAGAGAGGAAAAGGCGGTGGCTGGTTTGCTTGGGTTGATGAGGTGTGGAACCCCCCGGGGAAAGGAGAATGCAGTTGCTGCATTGCTGGAGCTTTGTCGGAGTGGTGGCGCTGTTGCCACCGAAAAGGTGCTCAAGGCACCAACGTTGGCAGGTTTGCTTCAAACTTTATTGTTTACCGGAACAAAACGGGCTAGGAGGAAGGCAGCCTCCCTTGCCAGGGTTTTCCAGAGGAGAGAGAATGCTGCTTTGCATTCTGGTGGGTTTGGAGTTGGATATCTGATAGCTGGGAACTCGACCACGAATAGAGATACAAGCTTCGTTGGTGATGTGTCTGTACCCATGTCAATATCAGTACCTGTTGTGCAAGGGTAAATGCTCACTGCACCCCTTGTCTTAAGTTTGTAAATGTATCTTTGTATTCTCAAATTTTGGTTGGTAACTCGAAACATTCTTTCATTCAAATATGAGGCAATAGTAATGAAATTTAGCAATACTATACCTACTTAGTGTGTGATCTCATAACATAACATTTATCATCCGTATACGTAGTTGAAACTTCCTATTATATGTGCAAATGTGTTCTAATGTCACCGTCTTACAATCTTACAAAAGATATTTCTTTTTCCTGTTACATCTGTAACAAGTTTGATTAACTTGTGATTTACTTCTACTAACGTATCTCTTATTGCATCCATCAATTTTTTTTGATGTTGACGATTATATATATTTGATTCAGCTATTTGTGATTCCATTAATGACTTATTTGTTGGGTCATTTGGTATATGTACCTCAAGTCTGAAATGACATTTTCGAAAGGGATAGTTATAAAAGGAAGGCCTATTCTTCAGGTCTTTTGGTTGAATATTATCTGTTGTAAAGCGAAATAAATTGAAGTATTATTGCATTGCTCTCAAAGTCACATCCCCAGGAATTCCGGAACGACAATTATTGTTAAAAACTACTTTCTGTTGTGTGTATTCCGTCATGCAGCACCTCTTGCAAGTTGGAATGATAAATTTACCAAAATCACGGATCTATGAATCTATCTGTTTGTGACGAGAAAAATACAAATACATAACAGTTATCAGAGTTTTCAATTATCGCCTTCAGATATCCCAACGTCTCCTTACTTCCAGAATGTCAGTAGAAGAACCCCTTTGAAGCCAATGTGCCCGATAGATGTATCTGTAATCTCAATCCCTCGTCTTAGCTAAACCTTAGACTTCTTAGTCATTTAGGTTTGAAGAACTGACCCCTGTGGTACTAGGATGTTAAAGTCACTCACAGTCCATTCTATAACTTGATCAGGGTCTCTGTATACTTCCACTCCCAAGTCTATGGAAGTCCATCGCCGCTTGATTGGTCGTGTTCCTGGATCCTGCACATAATCTCAACATAATAAGTTTTCATGAAAACACCCTTTTAAGTCGCGCCTAAAGGTACACCTGCAGCGTACATGACAGCACGTGTCGTCTGGGTGTATACTGTAAAGTTTATTTTTGGAAGGAAAATGAACAACATATACCTGGTAAAAGTATAAATTTTGCGACATTTTTCCCACGTCAAGCCACCAAGTCTTAGGGTCACCAATCCAACCTTCCCCTTTCTGTGTAGGATAACCGTATTCACCCCACACAGGGTGAGGCAAAATCTGCAAAATTTCTTGAGGTTGCGGGTTACTGAAAGGATCACACTTGTTACTAGGCTCTTCTAAATGTTTAGCATTCCCTGGAGAACAGTGCATGTGGTAAGCGTCGTAAGGGAAGTTTTTAGTGTCATTACGATGGACACGAGTACCATTAAGGAAGGTGTGATAGGGTGGGCAAAGCTCCAGCCTATCAGGCTTGCACCACGGCTCTGTCTCAGGGGTGATGATCATCTCACTGTATCGCGTGACATCTGATGTAACATCTCCATCACACGGCTTCCCATTGTTCTTCCAACAGCTTCCCATATCCATTAGATAGAATTGGGTTTTTGAACCCCTTCCTCTAGTTACATTCAACGTGAATCTTACTGTGAAGTTTGGAGATTCTAGATATTTCTGCACAATTCTAGATTTAATCATTTTCTGTGATTTGCATTGACATCGATTTTATCTCAGAACACATAAATAATTACTGAAAATTTACAATTGCAGGTAACAATGAAATTATGTACTCTGTTGTAGCTAATCCTGTAACTGCAAGTCCTATCAGTCATCAAATGTGGTAAAAGTACAGCAAGGAAGAGTAAGAAAAGGTGTTAGACAACTTACAGTTTTTATCATTCCTCTAGAATTATAATGGTAACCACCTGAAAACCCTTGGATAGCATCTGATCTCAAGTAAAGCATCAACCAAGGAAACCTCGTCGAGGTCTTAAGAACATGTCGAAAAACCCAACTGTCTTTCCCAATTTCTTTTTCCCAGGTAACAGAATAGAAAGAAATATTCTTTGCTTGATCAATACTTCCTCTCTTGCTCGTAGCAATATCCACATCCCACGTTCCAAAAAATCGCCCTATTAGGGTAGTTCCTACTAATTTTGTGTAGTTATGATACATTGTAGGGTGGTTCATACACCCCTTTCCAAAACAATCAAAGCGACCATCAGGTCCATAAGGGCCAACTTTTTTGCCATCCTTAGGGCATAAGGCGGCGTAAGTATCCATGTTCCCATTTTTCAACATGATCATCCAGAAGTGCCATGGGTTTGGCTTGTCTTCTACTTTACATCTTGAGCCTAAATACACTTCTTTTTCTGCTGCATACAGGTCTACATTGTTGAAGAATTTCGAGTTCCCTCCTGGGATCGGATTCCCTACTCCTAATAGGTTGTCCTGCTCAGTGACTTTGTGTTGTATTGAGTAACAATCTTTCTTTCCTGCATCTTCTGTAGAATAAAATGACAGCATTAATTTACAGAAAATTTCAGAACCATATATCTACTTACACAGTTGCTGATAAAGGTGTAAAACAGAACACAATATTCTTAACTCAGATTAAAAATTCATATTTCTCACATGTTCTATAAATTTATATACCAATGAACATCATCAATTACGACTTCACATGTAGCAACCGCTAATATATCTTTTTTCAAAGTTGTACACGTGACGCTATTTCATGAAAAGATTTCTTGCTCAAATGCTAATTTTTTTTTTTTGAAACAAAATGCTAATTAATTGTACCTATTACTTTGGTGATTTATGTTGATACTAGATTAGACTAGTGCGATGCAAAGATTTAAAAATTATTGAAATGAAATAGCTTATTATTTATTTTTTCTTATATACTTATCCGTTAAATCATAAAAGATATGCAGCTATCATCATCATAAATTACATGAGTAACAAAATATAAAAATGAAAGCCAATTTCTAGATTTCAATCTATTTATTCCAACCAAAAATAAAATTTATTTATTTATCTATTGATAAAGTCAATAGATTGAAATGAAAATGATTAAAAATTAAAATTAAAAAAACCAATTCCTAAAAAAAAATAACAAAACAAAACAAAACAAAATATATATGACATCGTAAGTGCTTCTGGCGGAAATTTTTTCATGAGAAAGTGACATATATACATTTGAGAGAGAGAAATGATGATGTCAACAGATTTCTGTTTTAATAATAGTTAACATGTTAGGTTGTTGGAGTGTTTATAAGAGTTGTTAGCATATTTAAGGTCAATTAAATTAAACTTATGAACATTTTAAACTCAAAAGAAATTTTTTTTTTTACAAAAATCCAACACGCGTGACATAAATCTAATAACACGCTTGTGACTTTGTAAGTGTACTTATTTGCTTATGTAATTGCGTAACAATTTCACAGATGGTCATGCTTAAAAAAAAAGTAGTTGTAATTTTGAAACAAAAGAAATAGAAATGAAAGACTAGAAGCAAAGATATTAGACTTTACCAATAAGATCAAAACAATCAGCAGCTCTTGGACTCCCAAAGTTTGGAGTTTCTTCACCAACTTCATTGCATTGGTTCCATGATTCAATTGCCACCCTTAACCCATCTCGTCGCATCCCTGGATCGCCTACGGCTGATACATACAAATCTGTTGCATCTTTCTGAGAAAAGCTTACCTTACAACATCCCAAAACCATAACAATCAAGAGTAACAAACTATCTTTGAAACACTTTCCCATTTTTTGCTATGTGATATGCATAAAAATGAAAATGAAAATAATCTATATTATAATATATAGACCTATAAAAAAAAATAAAAAAATAAAAAAAAATCTAAATCTAAATTTCTAATATTTTACACGCATGATATGATGAAGTGATAATATCCTATGTGCTAGGATTATTAATTACAAGATCAGCATGCTAATTGTAGAATTAATTAGCGGATAATCACTATATATATCACCTCCTAAAATCTTGGAAGAATTAGCTAACAATTTATTAATTATTTGCGGAGGAAAAAAAAATTAATTTGACAAAATTCATTAAAAATCTTTCCTATGTATGTATATAAAAATAAATAAATAAATAAAAACATTTATGTGGGGTATAATACTAGCCACATATACTCCGTATGAATGGTGCAGTTAGTTGCTAGTATGATAAACTATAATGGTTCGTATTCATGAAAGAAATTAGAACGCGGATGTTAGCTAACTTAGCTGGTAAAGTATCGAGGGATGGTATCTGAATGAAATGCTTTAATAATGTACGAGTAGCAGGATTGATAGAAAAGAAAGGGATAAAGCAAAAGGAAGAAGAAAGGAGTTCTATATGGAGAAAAACATATCATTTTGTATGTACTTTTATAATACGAAGTAATTCTGAACAAACTCTCCCATTATTGCGCATTAAGTTACCTCATAAGGTTTAATGTTTATGTCATACAAACAACAAACTAACTTGAAAAAAAAAATTGCCTGATTTTAAAATTTACTACATACGTTGCCTTAGGTAATCATATATATGAGAGTGAGGGATAGCTCAAGTGGTTAGAGCTTTCCTCCCGATTCCAGGAGATCTTGGGATCGATTCTCACCCCCGCCCTTGTGGCTCTCTAAACACCAAAAAAAAGGTAATCATATATATCGACATGGATGATGTATATATGGTGATAGTAACTATATAAAATATTCATTTTAGCTTATAAGGGACGGAGAGAGTAGTAACAAGGCTTTTTTTTAATATCAAAAGTGTTTTATTTTCTTAATTATTCAAGAGATAATTACCAATATAAAGCAATATCCACTCATATTGTAACAAACTTATTTAGACGATAACAAAAAAAATGTAAAATAAATAAATAGATAAATAACAAACTTTGGGCAGGAAATTTTTTGTTGAGAGAGTGACATGTGTATTAGAGGATAATACCGGTGATTACTTTAGGATAGTAGAGTATTGGTTAATTGTATATGACTCATATGAGCTTGCGGAATTATGAACAACTCCATTGAAACATTAAGCATAATTAGCAACCCCATTGAATCATTGATGTATCAATAACAATTAACAACCCCAATTGTCATTAACTCCATTATGTGAAGTCATTTAGGCATTGGTACTTTTGTAGTATCCTACAATAATTATGTGTCACGCCAAGTTGCCAGTTAAGATGTATTGCTTTGCAAATATCTTTCATCAATTTAAAAATAAAAATAAAAAAAAATAAAAAAAAATTATGAAACACTACTTCCAGTATATACACTTAATCCAAAATAAATCTCGTACAATTATACTAGGAGTATATTTTGTTCCGTAATACTCCCCAGTAAAAATTATTAAAATTGGAGTACAATTTAGTGTCAAATCTGTCAATGCAGCAAAGTAATTTAAGTTTTTGTCAATATTTACAACATACGAGTCAATGATTGTAATTTTGCCAAAACTAAATAAGTATAACTATGTATTCATTGAATTTAAAAAGACATAAAACTATAATGATGTGAATTACATAAGAGATTTGGAGAGGTGATAATGGGAGGAATTGGGGTGGGCTAGGCAAAAAAGTTCACTCAACTTGGGCCATATCTTTGGGCTGGGCTGGCCCAAAGTTTGGTCTGAAAAAATTGTGTGTCCAAATCTATACTATTTTGGGCCATTTTCTAAACAAATTAAAACTAGAAGGGGCCGTTTGGTTCGGACAAGGGAATCAGAATGAAATGAAGAAAGAGAATCAAAGAGAATGGAATGAAACCCATTCTTTTTAACATGTTGTTTGCTTTCAAAAAACACCCAAGAATCACACCACCACAACACCTCCAATTTCAACCATTGTAGTTACCCACAGCCTAGCCACCGCCCCTCCCGCCGTCGCCGCCCTTCCCTTGCCTTTGCTGCCCTCCCGTTCTCGAAAAAACCACCTCCTCCCATCACGCAAAAACCCTAAAAAACCCTCCCTCTCCCCTCAAAACCGTCGGCCGCCGTTACCCCCACCCTCGAAACCTTAGAAACAGCGGCTGACCTCAACCTCAAATCAATGGCGTCACTTCCATCTCCAAAATCGCCGACGTTTGGGGCGATTTCTTCTTCAATCCACCCCTTCTCAATCCCAATTTAATTTCCCCGATAACAATGGATTATCCTCAAGTTCCTTCAATTGGGCCCAACCCGATTATGGCCCATCTCCGATTGGGCTGATCTGGGCCCAAACAAACCACCGAAGCCGTCGATTGGAGCTTTGCCTTTGTCCTTGTTCGGTGTGAGGTTGGTGCTGTAGTGGTGATGAGGGGAATGGGAATGCAAAAGGGGAGGGGGGGGGGGAGGGGAATGAGTGTAGAGGGAAAGTGGGTGAACCCAAAAATAAAAAGGGGTAAAGGGAATAGGAAAATGTGGCAAACAAACAATAACAAAGGGAATGAAACCCTCTCATTCCCATTCCCATCCCTTTGATTATTACCCCCAAACAAACGCCCCTAACTACTTTCTCCGTTTATTTTAGTTGAATCTCTTTTGTTTTCATGGACCAATAAGTCTATTGTAGACCCTGGTCCATCTAGAACTAGATGGACCACCGAGCCCATATACGCTACAAACCTCATATCTTGCGGCCCAAACATACTCAAAATTTATTCAGTTTCTTTCTTTATGTTATTTCGCTGCAACAACATATTTCTCTCCTCTGCAACATCTTTCATTTCTTACTTTCATTTCATTTTTCAATTGCTCAACTAGTTATCTCTCTCCTCTATGAATATCCATGGAAGATAAACAAGAAAAAGGTCCTGAAAGGTAATTAAATATCTGAACAACTTAAAACTTCTTTAGATTTCTTTAAATTCGTTAATTGATTTCCTTCGAAATTGTTGTAATTTGTTAAAATTATTTAAATTTTTGTAATCTGTGAATAATTTCATAACATTTTTCACATTTTTTTAGAAACTTGACAAATTATTCTACAAGTAGTGATGAAGATGAATGGTTGAAGCTAATCCAATCGATTTCAAGGCATGTAGTGGTACAGTGCAATTGTTCGGATATTTTTACCAAATGTTCAAAATTTGCGATGTTCAGATTTTTTTAATAAAAAGTTCAAATTTTGAAATTGTTCAGATTTTTTTACTAAATGTTCAAAAGTAAAGGCGTGGTACATTGCGATTGTTCAAATATTTTTACTAAATATTCAAATTTTACGATGTTCGGATTTTTTTACTAAATGTTCAAAATATGCAATTGTTCAATTTTTTTTTACAAAATGTTCAAAACTATAGGCATGATACATTGAGATTGTTCAAATTTTTTTACTAAATGTTCAAAAAAATTGATGTTCGGTTCAAATTTTTTTACTAAATGTTCAAAATTTGCAATCGTTCAGATTTTTTTTACTAAATGTACAAAAGTATGGGCATGGTAAAATGCGATTGTTCAAATATTTTTACTAAATGTTCAAAATTTTCGATGTTTTGTTCGGATTTTTTTTACTAAATGTTCAAAATTTGCAATCGTTCACAATTTTTTAGTAAATGTTCAAAAGTATAGGCGTGGTACATATAACTAATTTTGAAACAATCAATTAATAAATTTCATATAAATTAATAAGATTGATAACATTAATCAATCAAATTAGTGAAAACAATAAAAAATATCAATTAATCGATCATAATTGATTGAAATCTATCATAATGGATTGAGATCGATTAGATTAGCTTCAAGAAATTCAATTAATAATAAAAACAAGTATTAAATCCATAAATTCATCTCAAAAACAAAAAAATAAATCAATATTTGTCACAATGAATTCAGAATAACTAACTTGGATTGATCACTTCCGAAATTTTGACGGTTTCCGTCATGTTTAATGCAGCAAATCAATGGAAAATATAATGGAAAAAAAACCAAAGAACAGAGGAGAGAGGAAATAAGAATTTGAAAAACAAAAGAATTATAATCGAGAAAGAAAAAAAAAAGACAATCAGATTAAGAAGGGAAAGAGAGCTCATGTGAAGAAGGAAACAAAAAATAACAAAAAAAAAAAAAAGAAGAAGAAAATGGAGAAGAAAATGATGAAGCTACGTTTAATTCAGAGAAGCATGTGTTTAGTAGTGGTCCATCTAAAATAGGTGGACCAGGGTCCATAGAAGAATTTGTACATTTGGAGCGCTACATAAACAAAGCCATTTTTTTTGGTGCTTAAACAAAGCCATTATTTCGACCAATGAAAAAATACATTTACAATTTATTTTAGAATTAAAAAAATTCAATTGCCATATAAGCAAAATTAACGAATAGAATTTGAGAGTTTATATTCAAACATTATTATAAACGAGATGAAGCCCGTGAGATGCACGGTTTGATAGTATTTTCTTCAAAAAATATTTTTCATATTTATATGATTAAAATTGTTATTACATTAGTTTTAAAATATTAGATAAAATTCCTAATCTCAAAAAATAATATTTTGTATTTAATTAATTTAAACTTTAAAATCTCATTTGCCAATTTTGCTTACGTGACATTTGAATTATTTAATTATAAAAGAAATTAATACTCTCTTATTTAATTGACTACCACTTAAATTTAATCCCACATAGATGAAACATACATAGACAAGGCTAAAGAATGTGGTTTAAATAACCAATGAACTAACCATAAATACACAAATTTTTGTATGTGGCTGGCCACATGGTGTGGCCAACCACAATTTTTATCTTTTATAATTTTTAAAATACCACAACTCTTCTCTCTCATTTTTTCTTAGCTTCTTCTCCAAGCCAAATCATACATCACCAACAACCATATCTCTACTCCACCCATTTTCTCTCTCCTCTTTTCTTAGCTTCTTCTTTAAGCCAAACCACACATCACCAACAACCATATCTCTTCTCTACCCATTTTCTCTCTCCTCTTTGCCAAATTGCTACAATTAAAGCCCGAAATTGTAGAAATTGGGTGTCAAATTGTTGTGAAAAATTGTGATTAATTATCCTTAAGATCATGAACAACATTTGAAGTAGTGAAATCGATGAGAACCAATGAAATTTGAGCTCCTTTTCTTCATAGAATCTCAAATCGAACATTCTACGTCAAAAATTGTAGGGTGTTACTAGTTTGCTCAGGGGTTACTTGTAGGGTGTTACTGGTTTGGTCAGGGGTTACATGTAGGGTGTTACTGGTTTGGTCAGGGGTTACTTGTGAGGTGTTACTGGTTTTGGTCAGGGGTTACTTGTAGGGTGTTACTGGTTTTGGTCAGGGGTTAGGTTACTTGTAGGGTGTTACGGGTTTGGTCAGGGGTTACTTGTAGGGTGTTACTGATTTTGGTTAGGGGTTACTCGTAGGGTGTTACTGGTTATGGTCAGGGGTTAGATTACTTGTAGGGTGTTACTGGTTTGGTCAGGGGTTACTTGTAGGGTGTTACTGATTTTGGTCGGGGGTTACTTGTAGGGTGTTACTGGTTTTGGTCAGGGGTTACTTGTAGGGTGTTACTGGTTTGGTCAGGGGTTACTTGTAGGGTGTTACTGATTTTGGTCGGGGGTTACTTGTAGGGTGTTACTGGTTTTGGTCAGGGGTTACTTGTAGGGTGTTACTGGTTTGGTCAGGGGTTACTTGTAGGGTGTTACTGATTTTGGTCGGGTGTTACTTGTAGGGTGTTACTGGTTTTGGTCGGGGGTTACTTGTAGGGCGTTACTGGTTTGGTATGAGCCTACAAACAACCTTTTTTTTTTTTTTTTTGAAACCAACCTACAACCAACCCTTGAATAAGTAATAAGTAACCATTGAATAAATAATTCATACAAGTAACATTTGAAGTAACTCATATAAGTAACTCTTGAATAAGTAACTCATACAAGTAACCCTTGAATTAACCCATACAAGTAACCCCTAAAAAAAGTACCCTTGAAAAAAAAAATATAAGTAACTCCTGAAAAAAAAAAAAAAAAAAGTAACCCTTGAATAACTAATCCATACAATTAACTCCTGAAAAAAAAATACAAGTAACTCCTGAAAAAAAAAATATAAGTAACCCCTGAAAAAAAAATACAAGTAACTTCTGAAAAAAAAAATACAAGTAACACCTGAAAAAAAAAAATACAAGTAACCCCTGAAAAAAAAAATTACAAGTAACTCTTGAAAAAAAAAATACAAGTAACCCCTGAAAAATACAAGTAACCCTGACAAAACCAGTAACCCCGTTATGCACGTGAACAGTAACCTCGTTATGCGTGCGTCAGAATCTGTTATTTTTACTGACTTGGCAGCAGGCCACACGGTGTGGCCTGCTGCACCAAAAAAGCTCTGCCATAAATATAGGTAGAAAGTCACATAGATATCATATCTTTTGACTTACACTATATACTTATTATTCCCTCCGATCCGTTTCAATTTGATAGTCCCATATACTATTTTGGGCGTTTAAAAAAGATCTACCCATATTGAATGTATTCCACTTTTACTTAGTTTTTATTTC